CATATGCGGTGACTGAAAATACCATGGCTTGAGTCTGGTCCACATTAGCCCTCACATTTGCTTTTTAATAATTTAAAGAAATCTTTTCAGCAGATTTTCCCAGTGCAATATGTCATGTGATTTCTTGACTGCTGTTTCTGCGAGTGCTGATTGTGGATCCAAGTAAAGTGAAATCCTCAACAACCTCGATCTTTTCTCCGTTTATCATGATGTTGCTTTTTGGTCTAGTTGTGAGGACATTTGTTTTCTTTATGTTGAGGAGTAATCCATTCTGAAGGCCATTGTCTTTGATCTTCATCAGTAAGAGCTTAAGTCCTCTTTGCTTTCAGCAAGCAAGGTTGTGTCATCTGCATGTGGTAGGTTGTTAATGAGTCTTTCTCTAACACTAATGCCACGTTCTTCATATAGCTCAGCTTCTTGAATTATGTGCTCAGCATACAGACTGAATAAGTATGGTGAAAAGATAACAGCCCTGACACAAACTCTTCCTGATTTAAAACCATGAAGTATCCCCTGGTTCTGTTCAAATGACTGTCTCTCAATCTATGTACAGGTTCTAGGTGAGCACAATTAAGTGTTCTGGAATTCCCATTCTTCCCAATGTTATCCACAATTTGTTATGACCCACACAGTCAAATGCCTTTGAATAGTCAATTAAACAAAAGTAAACATCTTTCTGGTGTTCTCTGCTTTCAGTCAAGATCCATCTGACATCAGCAATGATATCCCTCATTCCACTCCCTCTTCTGAGTCTGGTTTGAATTTCTGGCAGTTTCCTGATACAACCGTTTTTGAATTATCTTCAGCAAAATTTTACTTGCATGTGATATTCATGACATTGTTTGATAATTTCTGCATTCTGCTGGATCACCTTATTTTGAGATGAGCACAAATGTGGATCACTTCCAGTCAGTTGGCTAGGTAGCTGTCTTCCAAATTTCTTGGCATAGATGAGTGAGTGCTTTCAGTGTTGCATCCATTTGTTGAAACATCTCAAATGTATTTTGCCACCTTGTTTTTCAACAATGCCTTCAGTGCAGCTTGAACTTTGTCCTTTAGGACCATCAGTTCTTGATCATATGCTACCTCCTGAAATGGCTGAAAATCAACCAATTCTTTTTGATACCAAACCAAAACCTAACTCACTGTCATCAAGTAGATTCTGATTCATAGAAATCCCCTTTGGGTTTTCGAGGAAGTAAATCTTTACGGAAGCAGATTGCCCAGTGTTCCTCCTGTGGAGTGGCTGGTGAGTTTGAACCACTAGTCTTCTGGTTAGCAGTCAGACACCTTTGGCACTATGCCACCAGAGCATCTTCTTTTGATGCTTTCTGCATGGTTCATTTTTTGCCCATAGAATTCTTCAATATTGCAACTTAAGGCTACTAACAGTAGGCAGCCAATAAATATTTGTTCAATGAATGCCAAATATCACCTAAAACAGGCCTGGCAGCCCCCAGTTGATGAGTGCATTGGGAGCTCAGGGATGGGATTCTTGCCTTTCATGCAGGGGACCTGGTTTTGCTTCCCAGCCAATGGACCTCAGGCACAGCACCACCCATCTGTTAGTGGAGGCTTGTGTGTTGTTAAGATGCTAAACAGGTTTCAGCAGAGCTTCCAGAATGAGACCAGGAAGAAAAGGCTGGCAGTCTGCTTCAGAAAATCAGCCACTGAAAACCCTACAGATCACAATGGGCTGGATGGTGCAGGACAGGCAGCCTTTCATTCTGTCGTGCATGAGTCTGGGGTCTCCATGGCAGGCAACAACAAAGCCACCAATTAGAGTGGCTGCCTGCATCCCAGTGATTTCATTTCCTCTTTCTCTGGGTCCTCAGTGGCCAAGTTTGAGCTCCAAACCTGTTTCCTCACCTCAGCTGATTGGTCTAGTGGTGGACACCTGACCCACAATGGACCAATCAGATTTTCTCTCCCAAGAATTGGCCATTTGAAACCCAAAGAGAGTACCTGAGCAACAGCAATAGTAACCTACCATCTTTCCTGCCCCTGTGATGTGCCAAGCAGGTGCTGAGTCTCACATATATTATAATCTGATCTTCACAACAACCTCACCAGGTAGGTATTAGTATTCTGCCTCTTTTTCAGACGAGGTGAGGCTCAGATGTTAATTAACTTTTCCAAAGGCTCAAAGCAGGAAAGGGCTGAAACAAGGGAGTTGGAGTAGTAGCTGGAACTGAGCCATGTGATGACAGCTTCTGCTGCCCTGCTTCATGGTGACTGGACTCTGGACTGACTGCATGGGACATGGCCCGTGTGCAGGGAGGCGTGAGATGCAGCTCTCGGAGATGGCTACAGTGACAGGAGAGGGGTGGTCTGGGGGCAGAGTGAGGGCTGGAGCTCAGGGAAGGGGAGCATGGAGAACCTCCTCCCCTCCCAGGGGAAGCAGGACAGTGGCAGCCTGGGCCTGTGGAAACTTCCAAACAGGCAGAGAGTGACCACTGGGAGGACTTGGAGCTCTCTTTCCCCACCTCCTCCCCCTCTAGTGAATTAGTAGCAAACTTGCCAAAAAGGAAAAGGGGTGGGCGGCACATTTTGGAGACATGGGGCAGGGGCAGTGGAGAAATTTGCATCCTCCTCTGCACCAGTCCAGAGGGGCGGACACCCAAGGGGCTGAGGGGGTGGAGGCAGCTGGGATGTGCCAGAGACAGCTGAGGTCCCACAGGTGGTGGGGCAGGGAATCAGTCCAGATTGGAATAGGGAGTTTGTGGCCTCAATAGTGGGTGGCCTGGAGTGGTCTCTGACTTCCGGCTGTCATTCTTGGTGGGGTGGGGGTGGCCTAGGGCAAGTAGGCCTTTGACTACCTAAGAAGACAAAACAGATTCACCATGGAAAGTTTCTATCAGAATCCAAGCCACAGCAAGTACAGGTTTGTTTGGCTTTATTTAAAAAACCAACACCTTTTATTAGCACTGTCACAGCAGTGGCCCCTGTGTCACCTGACAGTCAAACATCACTTATACAAGCACTCACACAAACCACAGCCTCCGTGGCTCACAGTACAGGTTTCTCACCTGGGCTGCATGTGGCCCAGCCATACAAATACATTTCTCAATGCACAAATCTTCCTTTAAATAAAAAGGAAAATCAAACAATCATCAGGTCAGAGACAAGCCAGGAAAAATCATTCCTCTCTTCTGTGAGGAGGGGACAAAGCTTGGTAATAGAGGCAAAGTCCCTTCACAGGTGGGGTGAGGGTCCCCCTACCCAGTGTGGTAACTGGACTCCTTGGGACAGTGTTGCTACTGCCAAGTCGCCACCAGGGGCCTCCCTTGCTGCTGAGAGATGGAAGGGATCCGTCTTGACGCCCCCAGGTGGGGGTGAGCCACCGGGAACCTAGCCTGTCATCAGCATCCCTGAGGCCCCCGCAGACCAGGATGCAAATAGCTCCAGGCCCACGCAACTCCCAGTCTGCTGACGAGGGCTGCTTGCTCCTGTTTCTTCTCTTTCTTTTAATTTTTTTAAAGGAGCAAAATTCAGAGTCAGAGCTGGTTGTTCTGCAAACTTTTGCTCTGGCTTCTCAGACAACCATGGCTCCAATAATGGAGCAGTGAGAGGACCCCCTTCAGGCTTTGCCCTCTGATTCTTGCAACCCCAGCAGGCACAGGGCTGCCCACACTATGAGGAGATGGAGCTCACCCCAATACCTAGCCCAGGCCTGTGGCTCCTCTGACAAAGAGAATGTCAGAGAGCCTCCCTGTCCCCACCACTAGACCAATCAGCTGAGGTGAGAGGCCTGGACACCTCTTGTTCCAGTGCCTAGAGCTTCCTGAGGCTGATCCCTTCAGTCCTCAGGCAACAGCTATGGACCAGTGTACACAGTAGGCTGAAGAGTGGCATGCCATATTGGGGCTAAAAGAGGATACTCTGAGATGGAGCCTGAGAGTAGGAAACATAGGAAGGGGCTTAACCCAGGGAAGAGCCTGGCACAGCTGAGTTCACCGAAGGCTCTGATTCTGTAGCCTGGCTTCCTTACAACAGACAGGTGTTTAGACCCCAATCCTGCATCAAGCTTCCCACATAACAAGTATTCTTACTGAGAACAATTTCCTTTGCCTAACAATTCCTTGAAGGTTTCATCCCCAGGGTCCAACCCTGGCCCCCCCAAGTCCAGCATGATCGGGTAAAAATCAATCAATTCAAACCCTATGGATCACATCGGTTTGATCTGCAACTGATCATGTGGGTGGCACAAGACCAGGGAGCCTCTCTCAGCCCAGTGTTCTCAGATGTCCCATGGGCTGGGATACACCCAGCCACCGAAGACAAGGGCAGGGGCTGGGCGTGGCCAGCAGCATCAGCTTCCCGGAGATCTGGCTGCAGCTTCATCCGGTAGATGCCGCAGTGGACAGACACAGTGTCCCAGGAGGGAGCAGGGAGATGGAGCACGGGTTGTGTTGGGCCAGCCCACTCAGAGCTGCAGTGGCTCCTGGGAGTGGGCGGGGGGGCCTGCAGGCCCTCTCACATCTCACCAGGCCCCACTGGGCATCTCTGCAGGGCAGGCTCCACGCTCCAGCAGAGGCCGTGTGGGAAGCCAGGCTCAGCCTGTTTCCTTGGTAACTGGACTTTTCTGAGCTCAAGCCTGGTGAGGCTCCATGTGGTGGCAGAGTCTGCTGGGAAGCAGAACCTGTGCCAGCCTGTGGGTGGGGTGTGACTGGGGGACCGCCAGCATGCTGCCTCAGGTAGCAGAGGGCCAGGTGGTGCCTGGGAGGCAGAAGGCTGGCTTCCAGCAGGAGGAACCTGCTCCCGTCCAAGTTGGGAGACTTTTCTTTAGCACTCGTCTTTATTCCAGTTCAAAGCAATCATAGAAACTTCTCTTCAGTGTTGGGAATCTCAGATCTGAGATGCTCTGTGGTTTCTTACACTTCCTCTCCCATCACACGTTTCTCCTCTGAGCAGTGTTAACCGGATTTACCAAGGAGAAAGGCTTTATGTATAGAGATTTCTGAGTTGGCTTCCATTGCAAGGGAGGGTGAGGCTTGCTTTCAGAGGAAGGGCTGCAGGAGGCCAGCGGTGAGGGACAGTGGCAACAACAGCAGCAGCAGCAGCAGGGACACCCCGGAGGTGGTGACCGCTAGGGGATCAAACACAGCAGTAAGGCCTCCCAGCACACAGAGTGCACAATTGTGGCCCCAGGGATTCCTATGCAGGACTCTAAACGAGTGTCCTTCTGTGTACTAATCTCATTCCAGACTCCGGCACTCTACCTTACTTAAGTTTTTCTTTTCCCTAACTTCTTTACATATGCATTCTTTTAAATATTATGCTACCTGCATATTTATACAGTTGCCTCACATCTTCTCTGGACTATTATAATTAGCATTTATGTAATTACCCAGGTCTGTTTGGGTTATATAGCCTGCGTTTTTGCCTATGGTTGTCTGCAGCTCCCTGTTCAGGGCTTCCTGGGACATTTCACTTGGATACTTGGTTGTTTGTAAAATGGGGGCCCCTGCTCTGAGTCACCAAGAACCTAGAGGGTCCTTCAGAGAATCTGAGGAAGAGTCTAGATGATGCCCCAGCATGCGGCCGGAGTCTGCTCCTGCTCTGTGTGGTGTGAAGCTGCCTTCCCAGGGCTTTTAAAGCTTCCCACCTGTACCCAGGCCACCCTACCTGCACGGGAGCACTGTTGAGACAGCATCCCTTCCAGGGACACCACGTAGTCGAGGCCCAGCCAGTCTTGGTATGTGGTTTTCTCCCCTACGGGCACTGCTTGGATGGTGGCATCTTTGAAAAGTAGGTCTTGGCCATGATAGTCCGAGGAGTCAAACATTTTGAACCCATTCTTATTGTGGTCATCTCCAAACAGGTCCTGAAAGCAACACAAGTAAACCTGCCTTTTCTCTGGGCTCACAAATGGCCACTGGCCCATTTTCTTTTAATTGTTTTACATACAGTGACCCAAATAGCAACTTAATTTAGGGTACCAGGAGTCTGATTTAAAACCATAAGCTTGACAACAGATTGGCCCCTGTGATCAAGGGAGAGTTGGGGAAACACAGGACTATAGGCACCATCGTAAGACATTTATTCAGAAACATTACACCAAAGCCAGTTCTTGGATGCAGAAGTGAAAGAAGTGTGAGATCCATAAGAAAGACCCCAGAAATGAGCAACAATATGGATGGGACTATCATGCGTTTCTTCATCTGAAAGACCTGCTCATCATTTCTCAACCTGTTCTACAATGCTTTCTTACCCTTACTTAGGGGTCTCCTTTCCCTCAAACCAGAACAAGGTTAGTGAGAGAGCCTTTCGTTTTGTCACCAGTAATAAAAACAGTTGAGCTGAATATGCCTTTACTAACCTATCCTCTTCACCATCTGTCTGTAAGTTTGTCATAGTGTGATGTATGTTGCTGTAACGCTGGAAATGACATTATCAGTATTTCAAATACCAGCAGGATCACCACAGTGAATAAGTTAAGCAGAGCTTCCAGAATAAGACAGACTAGGAAGAAATCCCTAGTGATCTACTTCCAAAACTAAGCCAAAGATCACAACAGATCATTGTCCACCTTGCTTGCTTTGGACACATCATGAGGAGGGACCAATCATGAGAGGAGGACATCATGTTTGGTGAGCTAGAGGGTCAGTGAATGCGTGAGAGCCTCTCGGTGAGATGGATTGACACAGTATCAGCAACAATGGACTGAAACACGCTGCTGGTGGTTGAGGACAATGCAGTATTGGGTAACATTTCATTTTGTACATAAGGTTGTCATGAGTCAGAGTTGACTCAAGGGCAGCTAACAGCAATCGTCCTAGTGGCCCAGAGATTCTGATGCTGCTCGCTTCCATGCTGAGAATCCCTGGAGTGAAAAGTGCTATGG